TATGTTTATTTATGTATTTATTTATTTATTTAAATTAGGTATGTTCCTATTTGCATCTGTTTTTAGTTTAGAAATATTAACAATGAATTATGTCACATCCATGTAGTGACTACTATTAACCATACAGAAGCCAAAGCAAAGCAAACACTAGTAGATTACTAGTATAACTGTCTTCCTAATATCAAATACTCTCAAATCTAGTTGCCCACATTTAGCATAGTCTCTCTCTCACACACACACACACACACACACACACACACACACACACACACACACACACACATACACACACACACACACACACACACACACACACACACTCATATACATATACATATATATATATATATATATATATATATATATATATATATATATATATATATATATATATATATGAATTAGGTAAGAGTTAGTACATACTAAGATATATTAAATATAACTTCACACAGAAATGCCAACTGACCCAGCCGGGGCTCGAACCAGCAACCTTCTTGCTGTGATATATAACTTATAGAACTTTTATAAATAACCCTTTATTCTAAGTTTCACAACCACTGTGTTTAGGGTATATCTGATAATAAGAGCCATTATGTATTTGAGATGTCATCTCGAATATGACTCCTAATCTCTGTTTGTGATGCGGAGTCAGCTTGAAGATTAATGATTTAATGACTGAAATGGATCTTAAGATGATCCAGTATCAGAAGTCAAACGTGAGGAAAAGTAATTGTGTGTGTGTGTGAGAGAGTGAGAGAGTCAGTCAGGCTGCTCTGTCTGGCCCTGATCCAGGAGTGTAGTGGCCCAGAAGACGAGTCCTCTCATCTGAGTAAGTGCTGTCTGTCTGTGTGTGTGTGTGTGTGTGTGTGTGTGTGTGTGTGTGTGTGTGTGTGTGTGTGTGTGTGTGTGTGTGTGTGTGTGTGTGTGTGTGTGTGTAAGTGTGTGTGGATGCATCTCCAGAATTATCCAGACGGGACAAGCAGGTGTGACAGCTCCAAACCCAGTGCTTCACTATGTGAGAAACAGCTCGATCCACACCTCTGTGTCTCGATATGGATTTGTCCTTGGCAATCTTAGTGCTGACATTTGTATGCCTGTGTTCACGTCTGTGTGAGTGTGTGTGTGAGTGTGTTATCTCTTTGGTTTGTAATCATGTCCTCCAATGTTTGACATAATTTCTGAGAATAATTGGTGTTTATGTGATTGTTTGTGTTGTTCTGGCTTTCTGGGTATTTTTTTTTCAATCTGGAGAGTAATGAAGAGAGTATTGATTTGAAGAGACCATGTGAGGATTTATAATGTTTGTAAGCATTCCTGTGCTGTACGGATAGATGCTGAAATAGATGTCAACACTACTCAAAAAATGCTAAGCAAATTAAAATGCAGTAAAAAATATATAATCACCCTTTTTTCAATAATGAGCTATTCCAGTAATTGTTCTAGCAGTATATTGTGCAACACTATTCCATGCATGAAAGATTTTTGATACTACTTCTACACTGTAAAACCCAAAAAGTTAAGTTAACTTAAACCATTTGAGGAAACCAATTGCAAAAACTATTTTAGTTCAAAAACCATACCTAAAGAGTACTGTGAACCATTTGAGTAAATGAAACAATCAGAGCACAGTAAAACCCAATAAATGAAGAGAACTCAAACTGAGTACTGTAAAGCCCAATAAGTTAAGGCAACTCAAATAGTTTGAGGATTTCTACAAACCATTTAAGTTAAAAACTAATGTATTTGAGTACTGTGAACTTACTTCTACTAAGTAATGAAGTATTTAATTAACTCATTACCTTCAACACTGAGTCAAAACTCTTTTCAAATCAGTAAAATTAACTTTCAGTCAATTTTGAGTTAACTACACTCATTTCATTTGACTGTTGGCTTTTACAGTGTATAAGAGACTCTACTTCAGACTAAATTTGGCGCACATGTAATATTATTAATATATATTATAAATATGAGGTGGCACGGAAGCTCTGTCGTTAGTGTTGTTGCCTCGTGTTGCCTTGTGTTGTCATGGGTTTTCCTTAGTTGCTCTGGTATCCCTCACAGTCCAAAGACATGCGCTACAGGTGAATTGAATGAACAAAACTGGTCGTAGTGTATGAGTGTGAGTATTAATACAAGAGTGTTTGTTTCCCAGTACTGGGTCACGTCTGGAAGGGCATTCGCTGCGAAAAACATATTCTGAATAAAGGCTGGTTTATACTTCTGTGCCGAGTGATTGGTGTGACTTATGGCGCCTGCGTGCTGTTTGTATTGCTATGCAAAAACACTTTCGAAACGCTAGCTGGCAGAAGGTTTTTTATGTTCTTCTGTGTCGTGTTTTTTTTGTGGGCATTTTGTTTTTTGGAATGCTACCTTGATGTACAAGTAGCTAAAACTCGCTCGTTTATAGTGCGGAAAGAGGCAGACGTGCAACAACATTAATCTTAAGGTAAACACATAACAGTTTTTTATCTAGAGCTACTTCACAAGACTCGACACTTGTAAACACTCGTTCCAACATGTTTGTGTGGCTCTCTGTCCTGCCCACACTGGCCACAGCTACCAAGCCAACCAATGACACAATGACACATTGCGCTCTGCGTCCTGATTTTGCCAAGTGCTAGTTTCCCTGAGACCGTCATGACGTTTGATTGGCTGATGGAGTTGTTGTCCCTGGGTCATCATAAAAAATGTTGGTCTCAGGGCAACTAGCACTTGGCAAAATCAGGACGTGCTGTGGGCACACAGACCATGCAAAGGCTTCGCCGGAGCATACATGTGCACTTGATGCAGAAGCATAAATCAGCCCTAAGTTGGCGCTTCATTCCTCTGTGGAGATTCCTGATAAATTAGGGACTAAGCTGAATAAAAATAAATAAAATAATTAACTTTTAATATTAACATTAATAATATTAATAATAGACAATTAAAAGTTTTGTCTTTTGGTCAGTTTTTATTTGACAGTAGCTAAGACTGGATTTTATTTTTATTAACAAAAATACTGTAACTTTTTTTGGTAGTTTGCTTGCGTTGCTCAATTTTCAAAGTAGTCCAGTCACAGATGTTTTCACACTGCATTACTATCTGGGAGATCATTTCGTTGGTGCTGTGTTTACACTCCAAAATGGATCGGTGACAGGGGGTTTTACACAGCATGACTTTACAATAGGAAGAATCGTTGACAACTTTGTCTTGGTCTGCAAACTACATCTCACAACCAAGAACACGTGAGAAGTGACATGGAAACAGTGCAGGTAAGGTAGTATATCTTTTGTTATTAACTAGTCTACATCATGAGAACAAGCCTTTAGTGGAATAGAAAATGTACTTATTTTGCTCACCTGACTTTTGAAGTCAATAGGTCCAACCCACACGGTGTTCCTGCCAATTTCCACTAGTTTTTCCTCCATTTCTTGGGTCCAAATAGACCGAAAAGAAGCTCTTTTGACTTCTCTCCCAACCTCCTGCTGGCCTGCCCACACTAGTGGATGCTGCTCTCTCATTGGCTGTAGGTGATCGCTAATGTTATTGATGTTTGAAAGCATACCAAATATTTCATGGGTATCTGGGACTCATTGGTGATTGTCTCAGATTGCATCTATGATAGTTTACACTGTCTGACTGTTACTCATGTGAATGAGCACCGACTTGATTTCAGGCAAAACCTGTCGGCAAGTCAAAATCAGGGCTAAAATCATGCAGTCTAAACTCATCATAAGACAGATGTCATATTTCCTGATTTTCCTTAATGTTCACTGACTAAAAAGTTTAATTCCCATAACATATATAAAAATAAATCAGATGTTGTGTTCAGAAATAAGCAGACAAAAAAAAATGGTCACAGACAAAATTATAACAGGTACAACTATGACTGCCATTGACCTAAGTGACTGCAAGTTGAGAAGCATGAAAGAAATTAAATGGCACAAAAAATAAGATAATCATAACATTAAAATCCCAGGCTCATTCTGATTATGTACCCCAATATACATTTCTGGAGAGAGCAAAATACATCATTTGTTTTTGCAATTCCACAGGGGCCGCTGTGTAAGTTTTTTCAGATCTAAAATATCTCTTGCGAGTTCCATTCGCACCTGCTGTTCTCACGTAAATCCATCCGCTGTTGACTAACTAACTGACTGACTGACCAACTTTGATGTAAGTGATCCACTTCCCCCTCCCTAAACCCAACCAATAGTATTTTGAAAAGCACCTATTGACCCGCCCACCGACTTTCCTGAACCCAACCACAGTGTTTTGAAAAGCAATCCAGAAAAAGAAAAGCCCTCACCAGATTTTATACCATGTTTCAGATTTTATCAAATTCTCACCCTTTTATTTACTTGTTTATTTCATATTTTGGCTTTTGTTTTTGTCTTACCTGCTTTCTGGAACCTATCTTTACCGGACTCAAATCCTGTTGTGGAACTTCCATCAGCATCTTAAGCAGGGCTACCAGACAAACTGGTAGCAGTAAAAAAGCTGTCTACGTGCAGGTAAGTGGTCAGCTGGTTAGCAAAAAAAGCGACAGCGTCATACCGCCCCATAGCGTTTGTTTTAAAGATTAAATGCCATAGATCTGGCTACATAATTTGCAATCTCCAGAACCGCATTTATGGCTGCATTTTCAGAATGAGCCTATATTGATCAATAGGCAAAACAAGTGAAGCAATGCATAAAAAACACAATATAGAAAACTTCCAATAAATGGAAAGTAAAATTAAAAAATGACAAACAAAAATCCCTGACATATGATTGGGACAATAAAAAGGTAAATTCGCTGACTTTCAAGGTCTGGAATACACCTTTTAAAAATCCATGGTATTCCAGGTGGTCTCGTGGGATCCCTGTTTGAATGAAACATGGCCGATTGCCTTACTTTGCTTTTATATACTGTATGTCGATGTGAATGCGTGAGTGACAATGTGTGTGTGTGTGTGTGTGTGTGTTGGCTATTTGTGTGTAAATCCTCTTTCCATCCTCATCAGAGTGAGTGAGTGGTCTCTCCAGGGACAGGGCTCAGTCTGATCCCAGGCTCAGCTGGCCTCTCTGGGCTTCATCTCTCAAGCAGGTGTCCTCATGTGCTGGAGCCTGTTCTCATCAGCCTCTCGCAAACGAAAGGATTCAGAGAAACCTGCCAGACCTCAGGGGAAGACTCAGGAAACTCTGCCTGGGAGAGACGCTTTCACTGTGTACTGGGTAGACAGAAAGTTTGCTGGAAAGTTTGCAAGTCTGTGCAATCCTATGTCAAAGGTAAGATCATTCTGTTTCTTACTGGCTGGAACTCTGTGGAGCTGTCCATTATAGACATATGTTTTAGGGATGGGAGAGTAGGGCTTAACCTAACACTTTTTGACTATCTGCGAATTCGCATAGGGTTCAGAGTATATATGTGGATGTATATATTAGAGATGCCACAATTGTCAATATAAAATTGAACCTTTCGGTACGAAGTCCACTTTCAATACGCGCTTGTGAATTGCAGTTTTTTCGGTTTTACGTTTAAATAATTTGTGTGCATGTTATTTATCTCCGAATTGACTGTTTGCGTGTGCCTACAAACTCCTCCCCACGATTAAATATTCAATCACTACGCTCTAACGTTAGGGGGCGCTTAACCATCATTTACACTTTAACATGGCGAGTGGTGGTGAAGTGAAGCAACAGTACGAGGAAGCACCGGTGTCTTTCAAATCCACAGTGTGGGGACATTTTGGTTACACATATAACCTACTCAAACGGAAACATTTCCAACATGACTGCCAATCTGCGGCGCCATCACCGAGCAATATCACAGTCTGAAGGCAAGATAGCAGAGAAGGTAATAAAGTCGTCCACAAAACAACAATCCCTCGCTGAATCCTTCCAGCAAACATACCCAACTGGTTCTGAAAGACATAAAAATAACAAAGGCAGTGTTAAGTTTAACTAAGATGGTTTATTTATGTTTACTGAAGTAGAATTAAGTTCATTTGAAATGGTCAATTTGTACATGGGCTACCAGCAGCTGTGAGATTTCAGTGTTATTTTTTTACTATTATTATTATACAATACACTATCAACTATTGTGCTTTGAAGTAAAATAAAGGAGTATTGCAATAAATTGTTTTTTATTTTTTATTTTGATTGTTTATTGTTTTTTTCTACTTAACATCTTACTGTTCGTATTGCCTAAGCAAAGAATAGCAAAAAAATAATAATAATAATAATAAAAATAAAATAAATACCTATGTGTCAAGCCATCAGAATCGAAACAAAAACCGGATTAAAAACTGTGTTGTTGCAACCCAAGTATGTATGTATGCATTTATGTATGTACAGTATATTTGACAAGTCTTGTTGTTGGTCCCAGTTGAAAGAGCAACAAATAATGACTTGGTAGTTGATCTTTTGGAAAAGTGGCAGGCGGTAGATTTTTCCCATTAATCATCTGTTGAACTGCATCCCGATTATCACAATACTGCGGAAGACCTATTAAAACCCGCATGGACCCAAGATTCTCACAGAAATCAGTCAAGTTTGGTGAAGGAAAAGTCATGGTTTGGGGTTATTTTCAAGGTGTGCAAGAGATCTGCAGAGTGTATTGCAGCATCAACAGTTTAAGGTATCAACACATTTGTGTTGCCCATTTTATTACAAACCACAGGAAAAGGCAAATTCTTCACTAAGATAGTGCTCCAGGATTGGACAGCCTAGTCAACTGATATAAACACTATTAAGCATATCTGGGGTAATGGAGGAGGCATTGAAGATGAATTCAATCTTGATGAACTCTGGGAGTCCTGCAAGAATGCTTTCTTTGCCATACCATCCTCATTGGTGTCATACACAATATTAATTTTTTTTCCACTGCACCATGACTTTATATTCCATACTGTACATTATTTCTGTTAACTGACAAGACTTTGGTCTAAGCAAAGTCAGACCTTACTGTCCTATTTCAAGTCATGATCATATTTTATTTTAGTAAAATATGCGTAATCTAGAGCAGGGGTATTCAAACTGTGGCTCAACTAGTGGGTTGCACAGTGAGGAAAGGTGGTTTACACAACGTCACTTAGCTGCAGCTATATTTACATTGTGGTGAATCAAAACTAGTCCGATAATGAGCGAACGACTCTTTAGAGACTATTCTGTTTTTAAATTAATCATTTAGGTTAAAACATATGAGCCGAAACAGTCTGAATCAGCATACATTGAATGACTGAGTCAGATTCATTTGTGTTGATCCATCATGTGTGAAGTGTTTGATAAAATGGAAAAGTTTTTCAAACTAAAGGTGTCGCAGACTTCTAATACGTCTTCAGATCAAACCAAATCTAAAAAGGAGCCACACAGAAAATATGATTAGTCCTAGCTCGATCTTAGTTTTATCGCCAGCAAAGGTCCAGAGGGTGAGGAAGTCCTGCCTTGTCTTTTATGCTTAGAAAAGCTTGCAAGCGCTAGTATGAAACTCTTAAAACTTAAAAGGCACCTGACAACAAAACATTCTGCAAATGTCAACAAAGGTATATTATCTTCTAAAAAAAGAAGAGTATCTTCGTCAACAAAAAAATAATCACAGTTACAGCCAGCATGCCACAAAAAGCACTTCAAGCCTCATTTTGTGTATATTGAATCGCAAAATCCAAAAAGCCACAAACCACATATTTTTAAAACACACATATTTTTGACTGCTTGGAATGGATATATTTTTTACCCATTTTTCAATATTAAAATATTATGGTAGGTCTTGAGATTGAATTACTTGGCTGGGTCCTGGAATGAAAAAGTGTTGGAACCCCTGATCTAGACCTTTGCCTTTCATAAAAGTCACTTTTGATACCAAATGATCAACGAGAAGTCAAGTTATTATTTTTGGTTCATAAAAATTAGATAGGAGACAAGACTTTTATCAGGTAATGTACAGTATAAACATTGAACACATTGCAAGTGTGGTCTTGTGCTTATATGCCGTTATCACAACACACACATGCAGCTTTAACACAGTTAAAACAATGTGGGAAATTAAATAGATGTAGAAATACAACTGAATTTGAAAAAAATGACTAATGTTACAGAATAGCATAACTGTAATAGCAGCAAGGTGCATTGTGATCCAGTTACAGCCTTTCTCATCCCATATATAATACATGAACACTTATACAGTGCAAATATATTGAAAGCATATAGTTTTACACCATTCTATTACAAGGGTAGAAATTCAGTGGTTTAATATTGTTAGCTCATTAGCTCACTAGATGAAATGTTAATTCCCACAGCTGTTAGAATTAGTATTAACTTGGAATGGATTGGCGGATTTGAATTGTCGAGCGTTGAGTCTTTTATGGGATGCTGAGGTGATCTGTCAGGCCTGTGTTGCTCCAGTTTCATGAATGTCGTGGTGAACCGCTTTGCTTTGCCCACTCAACCAGAGCCATCACACACTGCTGTTGGCGTTAGCCTGCTAGCGTTGTTCCAAACTGCGCTCCATAATTATGTGTGAATGTTTGAGTGTTTATCACTGTCAAAACCAGGACCACATAAAATATGCACACAGATATATCTGCAAAATTGAAACACCTGTTATTTAACTGTTCTGTTATTCAAACCATTGCACATTTGTTTATTAAACATTTTGCACTGATTTGATAAATGCTTTCTGTAATAAATTAGTAGTAACATCATTTAGGCCAATTTAAAAATCATTTAAAGCCACTCTACAGAAGCTCATGCAAAATAAGCTCAGAAAAATACAGTCTAGACCTGCTCATTATTTTCAGAGTTATATAACCTGCTTGAGTATGAAGTTATTACAGTCTTTCTATATGCCTTTAACCCTGTTTCAACCCCCAGTGAGCTGTTTACTGTCCTCCAATAGCTGCCGTACACCCAGAAATGAAGTCTCATAAGTAACTGATATGAAATGCCCTTTGTGGGCACTGGGCAGGAACTCAGTTAACTGTTACGTACACACACTGCATAAATATGAGGTCCATGGAACGCTCAACTAACACACATTTGATATCAAGAGTTTTATAAAAGCATGCTGCCAAGACTCAGTATGGGACAAATAAGCTTAGTGAAATAGTGTATTTGCTTTGAGAGAATTTATGTATTTAGTTATATTATTACATATTATTATTAAAAATGTGTTTATTTATACCTTACATTAAGCATAATTACCCAGAATATCTAGATTAAGGCTCAATAATGTGTTTATACAGTATATTTTGTTCTTATTCTAACATAGGTAACCTACTCAGGCTCATTATTGATATATACCCCTGTAAACATTTCTGGAGAGCGCCAAATACGTCCCAGGAGTTACATTGTTTTGCTATTTTTGTCTTTCGAAAATCCGCCAAAGACCGATGTGTATGTTTGGGATCTCAAATTTCTTTTGCAAGTGCCATTCATGCGTGCTATTCTCACGTAAATCCACTAAAGGCTGCTGTCGACTGACCCACCAATACCCCCACCCACCTCCTTCCCTAAACTCAACCGATAGTGTTTTAAAAAGCAATGATTGACTAGCATCCACCCACTTTTCCTCAAATTTCCATTGTTTTGAAAAGCAATACAGAAAAAGAAAAAGCCCTTACGCCAGCCGGATTTTTACTACATTTTCAAATTCTACCACATTTGTCACCCTGTTATTTACTTGTTTATTTAATTTTTCTGGCCTTTTTTTTTGTCTAACCTGCTTTCTGGAACCGCTCTTCATTGGACTCGAACATTGTTATCGCTGTAAACTCCTTTCTGTGTCTCAAGTCTGCCGACATACGTGGCAAGCTACTGGGAAAACTGGTAATAGCGGAAAAGTCAACCGATAATGTGAAAAGCAACAACGTATATCACCCCGTAGCCTTCATTTTAAAGATGCAATGCAGCCATACATCTGTCTACTTAATTTGCGATCTCCAGAAATGTATATAGGGCTAAGTTTTCAGAATGATCTTGTTTTGTAGATAGCCTACGTTCCTAGAGTATAGATTGGCTGTCCAGTACATATTTTTAGGAAACCCACTAGATTTCTTCACCATAATTTATTTCTTAATCCCTTGTATATTTCTATATACTTTCTCTCCTGCTCACACACAGAACACACATCGAGCTTGAGTTGGTGAAACTAAAAACAAGATTTATTTGAAGACTAAGAAGATGAAACCCTCTTTTATATAATCTAGACTTTCCCGTTCAAGTATACCTATTAAATCACTGATAATTGCAAATATTTAGTTCAAACTGAGCATAAGAATAGGGAGGAAAGG